AGCAAGCAGTGGAGAGGAAGCATACTCTAAAAGGCACTGGTACTGGAACTCGGGTACAAGTTTTCATAAGGTGGCAAGTTCCAAAGGTAGGATGGGTAAGATTAAATACGGATGGGGCTTCGAAGGGTAATCCGGTAAGAGCCGGAGCTGGGGGAATCATTAGGGGATGCAATAGAGAGGTTTTTGAAGCTTTTGCAATAAACTGCGGAGTGTGTACATGTACCAAAGCAGAGTTGCAAGGCGTGCTGAGAGGTCTGATCGTGGCTTGGGAAGCAGGGCACAGGAAGATACAAATCTTAGTAGACTCCGAGGTGGTAGTAAGATACAACTCACCATATATTCATATACTCCGGAAATGTAAGACACTCATTTTTGGAAGGGATTGGGAAGTGACGATTAGCCACTGCTATAGAGAAGCAAACCGCGCTGCGGATTGGCTTGCAAACTATGGGGTGGAATCGGTAGAGAAGGTTGTTATGTTTGAGGCAATCCCTTCGGATCTTCGTGTAGTTTTATTGGAGGATCTCAGTGGGGTGGCATGGTCGCGGATGGTGCCGAAAGAGGGAAGCAATTTCTAGCTGGAGAGATTGGCTTGATGGTCTATGAGTTGGAGTCTTTAGCCTTTTGTTTTTTATTTTAGCTTACTTTTACTGCTTTTTGTTTCATCTTTGTTTTAATCTTGGGGATTTTCCCCACTTGTCCACCAAAAAAAAAAAAAAAAAAAAAAAAATATCATTAATGTTACAAATGCTTTAAAAATGTTTTGGTCAACCTTGTTGCAGCCAGTTCGTTTTGGACTAGTACAAAATCCCAAATGAGACATCTTATTTGTAGATAAACTAGATACTAAAATCAATTAGAACATAGATAGAGTTATCCTTTTATAGAAGATAATCTGTCAATTTTACAGCATATTTTATAACAAGTCAAAGTGTCAAATTTATCCAAATAGTTACAAAGATTAATAATAAAAAAACAATTAAATACCCAAGGGAAGCTCACTGTTATCTTATGGCACTCCCTAAAAATAAGGCGATATGTCCTCCCTTCCAAGTTCATGGTAAATTCCACAAGCACCAAAATTGTATGCATTTTCTTTGATACGTTGAAAATTTCTTTTTTTTTTTTTTTTTGTTATTTTGACATAGAAATTCAAAAAATTATTCTTTGAACATAATTGTCATTGATTCATTAAAATATCAAGATATCTAAGAGGGGAAACAAAAGATTAAACAGAGAGAAGCAACAAAGGAAGGAAAAGATGCTGCATAGGGCAGCAACAAGTGCATATTCATGGTGGTGGGCTAGCCATATTCGAACCAAACAGTCAAAATGGCTAGAGCAAAACCTTCAAGGCTAGTTTCTTTCGCTTTATTTTTTTCCTCTTTCAAATGGCCATATTTGATTTCGGGTCAACTTTGATCATAAAATTGTCAAAATTTTATTGTATTATAATGCGAAAATGATTTTATTGTATTATAATGCGAAAATGACATTAATAAATTTTTCATTTTTTCCGTAGTTAATGCTCCGTATATTTATGGGATTTAATGTTATTGCTAATAAAGTTTTACCATAAAAGTTGACGTGGCCTATTATTGTAAGACGTAGTTTGAAATTGTTTATGGTTAATCTTAATCATCAATAATTTTTACCTTTCTAACAACTAGTTGATTAATACTCCGTATAATTTATTATCATCAAGGATTGCCTAATTTATAATTTAATATTGTTTCTTTTGCTTATCAAGAAGTTATTTTGAATTGATTGAGAATTAAAGCGGGTTAATAAGATAATACAATATTGTTTATAGGGTAATAATGGTAAAATAAATAGATTTTTCGGAATTTTAATTCTCATTGCACGGAATATATGTTGTCAAGTCTTTCAATGTGCATCCATTTCATCCTATTCCATAATTCGACACAACCTAGGTATCAATTCAACCAATTCCATAATTCAACACAACCAAGCGACCTAGGTTTTTTATTTATGCATTCCTCCAGTCCACTTACATAGCATAAAATTTTCAAGGTATTGTGGGACTTAAAAAAATCAAGCAAATATTGTTTGTTCTTTATTTTTCTTTTTGGTTATGAACATTAATTTAGTTTTTACTTGTACACATCGAAATGCACATTAAAAAAGTTACAAATATAGAATAGGGAGGAAAATTTACTGACAAGTGACAACTTTGTTGTTGTTTCAGATATGGAGGAGAAGGTACAGTTCATGTTGAAGATCATAGATCAAGAGGGAGACTCATTCGCGAAAAGGGCCGAAATGTACTACAAAAAGAGGCCAGAGCTTGTAGGTTCTGTAGAAGAGTCATATAGAGCATATAGAGCTTTAGCAGAGAGGTTTGATCACTTATCAAAGGATCTACAATCTGCTAACAGAACCATTGCCACTGCTTTCCCGGAACAAGTCCAACTATCTATGGAAAGCGACGATGAAGACAGTTTAGCAGGCTCTACTTCTACTTCTCCTTCCCCTGATAGCTTATCGATGAGGAACTCATCCCCTAAAAATTTGCCAAAACCTCCAAAACTTCCCACTCCTAGGATGGCTAATGCCAAAGCACAAGCTATGTTGGCCACAAGGAGAGAGCAGCTTAGAAAAAATCTCACTACTTCAGGCACTGTATTGACTGCCAACTCAGGGCTAAGCAAGGAAGAAGCATTCAAAGAAATCGACACCTATGAAAAAGAGATTTTGATCATGCAAACAGAGAAGGAATTTATGAAGAGCTCGTACGAGAATGCTCTGGCAAAGTTCTTAGAGCTTGAGAGTAAGATCACTGATTCACAAACCAAGATTGGCAATTTGCAAGATGAGTTTGGGTTTGGCGCAGTCATTGAAGATTATGAGGCACGTAATCTGATGGAGGGATCTGCCCTAAGGTCATGCGCCAAGGCCTTAGCCAAGTTGCAAGAGGAACAAGAAAAGTCAATATACGAGGTGAAGGATGAGTACAACAGAATCAAAGAAGCTCATGACAGGATTGAGGCTCTAAAAAAATACTGTGGACAGAATGAAGAGAGCTCCAAAGAAGGTTCGATAATGGGATCAAGCTTGAAAGAAACAATTGTTAGTATTGAGATAGAGGATGGAACAGATAATGTGGATGCACTACGGGAGAATATAAGGGCGCAATTGAAACTGGATTCTAGCACAGCTTTCACTGAGCCAGAGATGGCTGAGAAGATTGATAATCTAGCAGATAAAGTAGTTAGTTTGGAGGCTACAGTTTGTTCCCAAAATGCCCTGGTGAAGAGATTAAGACAAGAGATAGATAGGCTTTTGGGGCATATTGAGAGCTTAGAAGAGCAAAAACAGCGACTGCAGGAAGATTCTGTCATGAGAAATAGGTTGAGAGAATTGGAAGAAGAGCTTATCAAAGTTAAAAACTATAACAAAGTAGTCGCAGATAAAAATAGCAGCATTGATGCAGAAATTACAGGGGCTAGTTGCAAACTTGATCATCTTCAGGAGAAATTGCACGATGTGAAGCCATATGAAGGGGCTGAGTACTCCAATGAAGGAAAATCTGAACAAGAAGCAGAAGAAGAACAAAAAGAGATCAGAGAAAACAATTCTGAAAAGGAGAGTTATAGTAGTGATACCGAGCCACAAAATGAGATGAAAGAGGTGGAAGAAGAGGAAGAGAAGCAAGACATATCAAGGACCGCAGAAAGTACCATTGAAACTGAAATACAAATAGGCGAAGAAGATGGACTTAATTGGAGGCAACTCTACATGAACAATATGGAGGAAAGAGAGAGGATTTTGGTAGAAGAATACAGTATAATCCTCAGGGACTACAAAGACATAAAGATTAAGCTTAGTGAAATGGAGAAAAAGCACAGAGACAATATTTTTGAATTGGCAAGTCATGTGAGGGAATTAAGAAATACAGTTGCAGCTAAGGATGAGGAAATTCAAATGCTACGAAATAAGCTTAGTGCTCTTAAAGGAAACGGAGATGGAAATACGGATTTATGGCTGGAAGAACATGGTGGCATGAAACCGGAAGATCAGAGTGAAAATAAGGAGTTTCATCATTTGGGACCTTCCTCCCATAGCACTGAACCAGAGAGAAAGCCACTTTTCTATCATTTGTACGGAGAAGATGTTGTTATCAATGAAACAGTTGAAGATAACGAAAATGAATATGAGAATATAGCTTCACCTAGTAATGAATTAGTAAAGAAAGTAAACATAAACCTTGTTACTAAGACAAGGTCAGTTTCAAGAACTGAAGGCAGGCTTCGTTCAGAGCTTGATAATTTACTAGAGGCAAACCTTGATTTTTGGTTAAGGTTCAGCACCGCATTTCACCAGATTCAAAAGTTCCAGACCACGATCACAGACCTGCAAGCAGAGATAGCAAAGTTAAAGCAAACTCAGGAAAACGGAGTATGCGATAAGGCCCAACATCAAGCGAAATCAGATGCTAGACCTCTATACAAACATTTGAGAGAAATACAGACTGAACTTACTTTATGGTTAGAACATAGTGGAGTATTTCAGGAGGAACTACGAAGTAGATTCTCCTCATTGAACAACATTCAGAATGAGATTACAAAACTATGGAAAACCAATTCCAAAGAAGAGAATGGGTTAAGTGATTATCAATCAGCCAAGTTCCAAGGAGAGATTCTTAATATGAAGCATGAAAACAGCAAGGTTGCTGAGGAACTACAAGCCGGTGTTAACCGTGTCAAAGCACTCAAGTTTGAGATTGGGAAAGCACTGGTGAAGTTAGACAAAGAGCTTCGTCTCTCTGATTCAAAGGGTTGTGTAACAAATCCACCGATCAAGCCAAGAATCCCACTGCACACATTTCTGTTCGGAACGAAGCTTAAAAAGTATAAGAAACCACCAACACAATCAATGTTTGCTTGTGTCACAAACCGATCATTATGTTAACGTTCAACATAGTCCATTGCTAGATAATTCACAATAGAATACTGTGTAATTTCTTCAACATTTACAAATATCGACAAAGGAATTTTATTAATCTTTAAAAATCGTCTCTTATACTGTAATTCGAGCTTAAGATACTCCCCCAAACCTTCTTATAGCAAGAAATTATGATTAGTGACTTTATGATCATACACCAATGTACTTACAATGTAATGTTTCACAGAGAAGTATAGAACAGTTGCCAAACAGAACTTGAACCACTATTTATAAACACTAACACAACAATAAGCAGAGAAAAATGGCAGACATTTACATATATAGACCTAACCACAGTACTATAAGTTTGTTTGGTTAGATATTTTGACACTAACCAATACTTCTTTTGAAACCTCCATCTTTTCAGCACCCTCATCAACGATCCTACTTGGTGGAACTTCAGGTGTTCCTTCCACACCTGAGGTACCACTTTGAAGATTCTGAACAGCAGAGAGCTTCTCATTATCACTTTTTAGGGCTGAACCTTCAAAGATCTGCTTGCAAGCATCATCTTTAACTTCATTCCTGGCTACATTTGCAGATTGAGAACTACCAATATTGACCATACATTTACTAAGACCCACATCTGCAACAGTAGATGTTGCCCGGCACTTATCAAGTGATGAGTCTGGCAAACATTGGGGATGGGAAGCATTATCTTCTTGGACTCTGGTCAATTTAGTATCTGAGCCTTGAACATCTACTGCAGTTGAAGTTCTATTTTCCATCTGTTGGGTAGCAGTAGTTCGCTCCAGTCCTACAGCAGATGGGGTTCTTGCCTTCGGAAGCTGAGATACTGCAGCTGGAGGAACAGGGGGCTTTATTGCACCATTACCCTTGGCTTGTTGCCCTGCAACACAGGATGCAGTTCCAGCAGAAGCCGTGAAAGTTGGTGTTGAAGATAACCCAGTGCGTATAAAATGTACATTGGGAGGCAGAGGGCTTGAACACCCCACAGCAGAAGTCTTGATTAAAGAATCATCTCCTCTTATATGCATTGCTTTTTTTGACTGTACAGCCTTGAACATAGATGCAGCAGCTGAGGGACTGACAATTCGGGCCCCTGCAGCTACTGCAGTAGCTTGAATGGAATCAGTACTGACACTTGGTTGAGTTACCTTTTTCTGAGGCTGAGCCTTTGGCACAGATGATGTTACGCAGGTGACCGGAGAGGACTGTGGCTGAGATGATGGAACAGAAGCTCCGGTAATAGTTAAGTCCGTTTTTGAGCCACTTATTTTAGGTGAAGTAGTTACAGCAGGTTCATTGCCAACTACAAAATGATAAAAAGTGAGCAAGTTATCACCAGTCGGATAATATAATAAAATAAACAAAAGGAAGGCTATGACAGGAAGAGGAGGGTGGGGAAAAAAAGAGGGGGGGGGGGGGAGGAACACACAGGAAAGAGCATCTTTAAGGCTTTAAAATCATAGAGGGAGAGCCTGTCAAAAAAAATTAAAATAAAATAATAGAGGGAGAGGACGGGGGGACAGGGAGAAAAGAGGAAGAGAGGGGGTGGGGTGGATACACAAAGAAAGAGTATCTTTAAGGCTTTGAAAATCATCTTGTTTAAAGCTTAAAGGATGTCCTGCAACTCTGCAGGCATTAATAGTTTCATTTTTCAGCACAAATTGTATACTGATCGATGATACCTTTATGAAACATAAGACCTTACCCCTACAAAAATAGAGAAAAAAAAATAATAATAAAATAAAATAAAATAAAATAAAATTATTAACTAATAAAATAAAATCTAGAGAGGATTATATTAACACACACGAAGATATTCAATATACATCCCACTGTGTTTCGCTTGTTGGACCTTGGGGAAAGAGTAAATTATTCATTAGAAAAACACAGCCAAAACCAAGATGAATAAGACAAGTTCACCTAACCTATTATCAATAAGGCCCTTGGACAGAGAATGACGAAACAATAGATCAAGCATGATTTTCCAAAGGTAGAATAAATGGGGAGCCTGCGCTATCAATCATATCCCACTAAATTTGATGAAATGCTTAATCGTACCCCATGATGAAAAACATATGAAACACTTTGAAAAGGCTTCAAAAGTTGTTGATAAAGGAAATGAGACTCAAACAACAACAAAAATGCGAAGGAAAACCCGCTTCCTAAATTAACATGATAACTGAATGCTCCATAAGTCTATAAGGGACTTCAAAAACATTGTCAGATTGTTCAAAGTCTTACATGATTATGGTATTAATATGTATGAACACAAAGTAGGAAATTAGTGATACTGAAATAGCTACATAAGAAGTTCTCATAAAAAACAGTAGTAGATAATATAACAACACAAAACTGGAAGTTCCATATACTTGAGCAAAATAAAATGCACAAAAACAATAAAGATCATACCAGTGCTACAACCAGTTGATAGCTTGTCCTTGAAAGCCATATCAAGAGCACGACGGGTAGCCAGCTGAGCCTCCGTAGGTTGTGGGCTAGCTATTTTGGCCCCTCCAATATTTAAGCTGCCCTGTTTCTTCCTTATAATATTCCACCTCTGCACACACAAGGCAACTCTGATATACAGCATTTCAAAAAGACATTTGCATAGACAACAATTTAAAAGCTTGTTTGAACTATCCAACCTAATGTAAACAAATCTAGCAAACTTAGCAATGAAAAAAAAAAAAAAAAAAAAAAAAAAACAGCCAAGGTATAAGTTCACCATCCCACCATGAATGTCAAGTTTCAAATATTCTGCGCTTTGCCTCATCCTAATATTTTTGCTCTACACCTTTAAGTCTGCCTATGTGCAAAACCACACTTGATGACTGATATTCCTTTGAGACAGAAATCTTCCCAAGATAAGGGCTAAACATTTAAGAACAAACATAAAATTTTCTTGACACAAAACTAAAATTAAAATTCATCATTACTACTGGCAAAGCATGAAACAAAGCAGTGTAAAATACATAAATAAAAACAGGGTAACATTAATAAGACCTGAGCTAGCTGAGTAGCGTTTCTATTCCCCTTGAATTCTCCTTTTAAGATAGCCGCCCAACTTCCCTCACCAAATTTTTGAACGGCAGTAATCAGTTCTAGATCTTCCTCCTCCGACCATGGTTTTCTTCGCTTCCGATTGATTGGTAATCCATTTGCATCCAGCCCTTCGCCAAAGTTTCCTGAAGCTTCATGTGATGAATTAATATTAAGTGTCCTACCCTCCACACTTGAGCCATTGGGGATACTAGACTCGATAGCCGATCCAGAAGCAAGCACCTAAGCAGGCAAACTAATCAGCATATAAGACAAGCAATATGGTAATAATTTATGCATCGGACTTAGATATAGAAGCAGCATTACATATATTGCAGCAGAGATTGATGTTGCAATTAGTGACCCAGAACAAATCCATGAACTAGTCAATGAAACCAGAAACATCATACTACAATAGTCCATCAATCCACCAATAATATTCTCCTGGTCAGAGCTGATTAAAAAGAAATTGGTTAAGCACCAACCACCAAGTCTTTCACTTCTCGTGCTCCTGCCACAGAACAATCAACTATCCTCTGGATCTTGGAGACAAGTCACTACAGCCACAGTGCCAGGTGAGTCGGCTTTCTGATTAGCCCCATATTTCAGCAATCTCTTTCAGGTGCAATACACTATTTTAAAAGATCAGGTTGCTTGACAAGCTCCAGTTCAATTAAGCAGTTATGGCTTGAGGAATGAGGATCACTGTGTGGTCCATATTCCTGAATCCAGAAAGTGTTGTTTTGATTTTAAGTATGGAATGCAAGTCCTATACTCCGCTTTTGTTGGATCCCATAATGACAAGGAGACAACAAGTTTGATGATGAGTGAATTCTAAATATTCTAGAAAGTTGAGATTGCCCAACGAATAGGAAGGGTGAGGTTGAGCGTCCCTACTCCATATATAATACAGTTAGTAAGTTATCATAAAGCATGCCATGAACATGGAGATTGAATCCCCGCAACCAAGTTACATAGTTTGGCCTTTTCTTTGAATCTTACTCATGCTGTTTCCACTCTGTAACTTCATGAAGCAGATTCAAGTGATCAAATTACATTCATTTGTATTAGATTTAGATCCAGGAAACATTAAAAAATGCTGATGCAGGAGGGCCTTTGCTTTCTAAAAATTAGATGATTCAGTTTCAGCTAGGAATAACAAGGTTAAGATTGCTAATGTCCAACTTTTTGGAATATGTTTAACAAAATTGAATATTAACAAGAATCAGTTGGGTGCAGTAGAAAAACATATCAACACAAACGCCATTATTGCGGCTCCAATGACCATGGCTCTATTCTTTAAAGCAATAAGAGGGAAGCAAAATAAGATATTATCTTTCAGGATGTTTGGTTTTAAAATCCTGTAAGGCTGAAGGTGGTATTGTAGCTTGGAGAGAGAAGATTAAGATTTCAAAAGCTAGAACTCCTAAATGGCAAAAGCCAATTCAAGTGGCACTGTAGTGGTGCATGCGGAGTAAAGAATGAGTGGATCTTTACCAGGCAAGCGCAAAGCTTGCTTACCTGACCTTCTCGCAGTTTTTTATTTTAGTCCAGTATTTGTGGTTTGGGCACTTGGGAGTAGAAGGGACTAAAGGAGGGTAAGGGAATCCCTACCCACAAGGCCACAACCACTCTTGCTTGGCAAGATATGAACCCCAAACCCCAAGGGTATGAGGTAAGAACTTTACCAAGTGAGCCAAGCCCTGGTTGATAAGCAAAGCTTGCTTGGCTTCAAGAATTTTTATATTCTATCTTCAAACAACGATGTATCCTAAGAGCATGAGCCAATCTCCATATTATATTCGAATCATTCATTAACACATGGCCAATCTCCAAACTTAACTACATAGAATAAAGTTTGCATCATCTGTTTTAATAAACTAGAGAGGAGAATAGGAGATCTAAATTCAGACAGCTAAGCAGACATCTAGAAAGTAGAAACAGACGGTTAATATGGCAAGCGAACTTCCACTCAGGCAAAGACTTAAAAAAAGAATCCATTACCAGCATATAAATAGCTAAAAAAGACTCAAATAAAATCAAATCTGACATTACTCTCTTAAAATATAAATTATGTTGAATCTAACCTTTACACAGTTCAAAGCCTCCGTGGCAGCTTCATTGCTAACTGGGGGACGTGCTTCCAATTCATATTCCAGGTCACTATCATCATCCTGTATGCATTGGCATCTACATTAAGCTATAAAATGTTCATCTGAAACCAGGAAAACATGAAAAAATAGAATGCTTATGATGCTACATAGGGCATGTCATGCAATGTTACGTCATTTATTATTAACGCTTGCTGCCCATACAAATTAGGCACCCAGACATTACACTTTCTTATTCCTTAATTTATTATTAATTCTTATTATGTTTCAATGATTGACATATATTGGAGGAGTGGCTAATACAAAGGATTCACCAATCTATTTTTCCATTCAGTAAATTATTAAGGGTAATTTACTTTGAGGGTGTTGTAAATAGTACTCCCAGCTACCCTCTTAGAGAGCTAACAACCCTTGGGAGGTAGAGAATGTATGCTTTTGTCCCTAACCCTCCTTTCGCAAATGGTTGATACTTAATTCCTGTCTTTCCACTACATATCTTTAACTTAGCCAATAATATATCCAAGTTAAACAACACTACATCATCTATAATTAATCATGTCAACAACAAAAACAAAAAATTTCAAATAGTCTAAACACACGATTCTACAAATACAAACAAAACCTTGTATAGATTGGCGAAAAAATAAACCAAATCAATCCAAGTAATTTCCTTTTCACTTCAACACAGGCTCAAATTTTGCATTTTTGCACGATGAAGTTTACAAAAAACCAAGCAATAACCCAATTTCCTTTCAAGTAAGAAACACGGAAAAGCAAAATAAATGAATTACTGAAACAATTAATGAGTCATTTTTCCTATAAAGTATCATTTCATAATTTCAAAAAGAGAGAACTGAGTTTCTAATTTTAAGAAACCCAAAAAAAAACCTCTCACAAGATTTTCTATCCATCAAAACTCAAATCAATTACAGGCAAGTTTCATGTCCTAATTAGTTATTACTATTGCTCAAAACTCGGCAAAAACGCAATCATGATTTCATTCAATTCATCTCAAGATCTCAGTGCCAGTGCACATTCACCAAAAATAAAATCATAATCCAAAATCAATATACAAATCAAAAACTAACCGAAGGTTGATCCTCAGAATCAATATTCTCAATCAAGGGTTTGCGATAAGCCAAATGACGCCATAACATCTGATACTCCCTTGCAGTTTGATTCCAGTTTTCGTCTTCTCCACTAACGCCTGCCAATCAATTTTCACCTCTGGAAATTGCGCAACTTCTCTAAGTAGCGACAAAACTGTCGTCGCTGAATACCTAATTTTTCACCAAAATCATCATCAGAATTTCATCAAATTCAACAAAAATCATACAATTATGAAGAATTAGAGGACAGAGAAAGAGAAAATATACCTCTGTAAGAGTGTGCAAACATCTTCTTCAGTGACGGCAACTTTCTTGAGCTTAATCTCTGTAGCATCAACCATGGCTTCCGATTAATCAAAATTCGAAGCTTACTGCAACATGATTTGGTGAAGATGATGAGATTATTTAGAAATTTTCCCCATATTGAAGCTAAAACCCTAAGCTAGGGTTTAAGGTACAGTAATGGCGATGGAATTTTGAATGACTTGTTGTGAAATTTCAACAATGGAAGGAGAAAGGGGGAGGTGAGGAGGTGGGAGGAGAGAGAAAGTATCTGAGTGACAATGACAGAGCATTGAAGAGCGTAGACAAAGATTAGTGAATAAACAAATTGCGTTAAGCACTTAAGCTTGTTTATTAAATGTGGAGTTAAGTTAATGAAAGTGATTGAACAATCTTTGAAACTTGTTTAATAAATGAGTTTAAATATGAACATAATATTCATTTATATATAATTTTATGAACTTCACTTGACAAAAAAAAATCATATTTTCATGAACTTTTTATTTTTGTTCATGAATAATTTATAGGAAATGTTATTCATAGCCCTAATGTTTTTTTTTTTTTTTGAGGGAAGCCTTAATGTATAAGTAACTTACAATTTGCACAAAAAAAATAAGTAACTTACAATTAATCAATACAAACGCCAACAAAAATCTAAAAAATAGAAAGAAAAAAAAAATCGCAAGAAAATAAAAGTTTAGAACCATTGCGAAGACCGATGCTAGCTTAGTTGCATGTTGTTGTTGTGGGGATGCAGGTTTTGGTGGCTGGAAATTCAAGGGTTGCTCTACTTGTGGTTGGTGGCGATTGGTGGTCGATTTCGGGTTGTGGTTGGAGATGTAGTGGCTAACTGGTGGTTCTGGTGGATAATTACGGCGAGGTAGAGTGTAATTCAGTTGCAATATGCTGGTGCGAGTCACATGAGAGGTGCAATTGCAGGTTGCGACTGATGGAGTTTGTTGGTTGATAGTGGCTGGTTAGGCAGTTCTCTAGTGGAGTTCAATTCGCTGGTTGATTGTGACAAATTGGGTGGTTCTCTGCTAGTGGAGTTCAATTCGCTGGTTGGGCGGTTCTCTACTAGTGGAGTTCAATTCGTTGTTGATGGTGGCAGGTTGGGCGGTTCTCTGCTAGTGGAGTTCAATTCGCTGGTTAATGCATGGTGGCTGGTTGGACAGCAGTTGGGGAGCAGCGGTAGTGCTCTTGTTGGTTAGGCAATTGGGGGTGCAGCGGTAGTGTTGTTGTTTAAGGGTGTCCATTCGATTTTCGGTTTGGATTTAGCCCAAATCCAATCCGAATCGAAATAAATTTTGATTTTTCGAATTCCTTACCAAATCCAATCCGATCCAATCTGAACTATAATTTAATTTGGTAATTTGGATCCAATCTGAAAATTCGAATTAAAATACATTTCTAACTTTTTTAGGCCTAATGCGATTATAAAAATAAAAATACAATAATAAAAATTCTTTTCTTGAAAGTATAGGTGTGCACAAATAATACAAGTTTTGAAAACATAGGTTTACATGATTAATATTAATATAATCATAAACATGATTAACAAGATTAATATTAGCAATACTCCCTCCATTTTTAAATACTTGCTCAACTTTTTTTTCGACCGTTTTTAAATACTTGCTTCATTTCTTTATTTGGAAAGTTTTAGAATATATACGGAGTAATTAATTTCTCTCACAAGGTGAACCCATCAATATTAATTACATATCCTTTCTCCTTCAATTCTCTTCACAACAATATTAATACGGAGTAATCCGAGTTTTTTTATAAAAAAAAAAAAGGAATCCGATTTAAACTTCAGATTCGATCCGAATTGATAATTCGTTTTGGATAGGATTGAATTTCGATTTTTATCTGAATAATGGACATCCCTACTGTTGTTGGTTGGCTCTTGTTTGTTGTTAATGAGAAGGGAAACCCCATTGAGAAAAAAGAAAGAAAGGAAGAAGGGGGAAGAGAAAAGAGAAGTAAATAAAATACTCCGTATATTGTATGTTGTTAGGGCCTGTTCATATTTACTGAACTGAGCTGAACTGATTGGAGCTGAACTGAACTGATTGGAACTGAACTAAACTGAACTGAACTAAGCTGAAATGAATATCTTATGAGAGAGGGAAATTAAGAGCTGAACTGAACTGAACTGAACTGATTGGAGCTGAACTGAACTGATTGGAGCTGAACTGAACTGAACTGAACTGAACTGAAAATAAGTAAATATGAACAAGCCCTTAATCATATAAGCCAATAAAATGATGCATATAATCAAATAAAAGAAACATATTAGCTAATTAGTGCTTGATACTCCCTCTATCTTATAATAAATGACACAGTCAAACATTGCACATATGTCAATACACTAGTTTGACTTTATTTTTATATAATTAAATATTAATGAAAATTATTTAAAAAATTATAAACTTTATAAAACCATCTAACAACATATTTATGACAAAATATATTTTTATTAGGATTATTTGACTTTTACCACAAAAAAAATTCACAAAATTGTTTTTTACCACTAAAACTTTTACACGTTTTATTTTACTACCAAAAATAAATTTAAAAGTTATTTTTTTTAAGACCTGTCGTCAAAAACCTAACACAATTTTTTGAATTCTGCGATTTTCGTGTCAAACGCATGATCTTTGGAGTTTTTTTAAGGGCATTTTGGCTCTTTGGGCCAAATTTGATGTCAGAATTGACAAAAAAGATTAGAAATACTTCCCTTTCCGTGTTGACAAAAAAAAATCGAAGAATTTTGTTTAAAGCCTTTAGATTTAACGGTTTTTTTGACGGTAGTTGTTAAAAAACAATTTTTAGAAATTTTATTGGTAATTAATTATGAAAAAAATATACTAAAAAGTAAGAACACACCAAAAATCAATTATTGAATTATTGATTATGATTATCCGACTCCCTCATATACCATCTTTAAAATAAACATGGATTGTGTGTAGACTCACGTATGCAAGAAAATACAACTGCAAAATATCAATCTTGAACGCCTTTACCAATCATCAAATAAACCAGAACAAGATGAAAAGCAAATTGGTGAAGAAAGATACATAAAACTAAATGCCTATATAAACATAAAATTATGAATTTATAAGCTTTATTCTTCATCTTACATTAAACAAATAGTGCAATAAATTTCAAGTGTTTCCTAATGACCTACAATCTCTTGCGAGTATACTTGATAACTTCTGCAACTGCCACACGGCCTTTGATTGTAGAAACAATAAATGTATATAGATTCGACAATGTTATATCCTCTAGTCAGCCAAAAACGGTGACAATAGATACAGAAAAGTGGAGTAAGCAATGGCTTACTTCCCACCATCCACTATCATCTGCTATAGGAATTTTGAGTTTGGTTGGAAAATGAAACGACTGTGCTCAAAAAGCCCTGTAATTACTGCTCAGACGAGATCAAGGTAACTCCTAGATACAGCTTACCACACATCCCGAAGGTATCGTCCATCTGTCTGCAATTTCTTCACAACAGATTCTGCTTTCGAGGAGTCTACATTCTCCTGAAAACATAT